ACCTTATTTAGAATGTATATGGAGCAGTGCATTCTCAGCACACCTTAGTACTAGAATGAATGGAGTCCCATGCGCATACGCATGAGTTATGTAATTCCACCCCAACCAATCAAGATGTCCAAAGATTCCCAACAAAGAAGAGGACCAGGTGAAGATGTCAGAGCCAGGGAGGGAAGCTGAGATCTGCTTTAATGACTGTTTCCCCTCCCCGACATGAGAGCATTGGGCCTGGGGATTAGCTGCCTCCTGAGATGAAGGGGAGGAGGTTACATGCCCCGTATAACTGGAATTACTATTTCAAGAGTGTTAATGAGTATTTTGACAGATGTACAGAGTGCCATGCGATTGCAGCACTAGTATTAGTAGGCAGTAGGGGTGGTTGTTAAAAAAAGGTAACCTGTCACATTGCTCTTATTGGCCAAAGTCACATGTTCTTTGTAAACTGAACTAAACTAAAGTAAACTAGTAGTCACAGAAACATCGCTGAGCTCCTTCTAAAGCTGTTGGTTGCCTGGCCGGCATGGTTATCCGATGGATTCATTAATTTCTGAGTCAAAGCAAGTATTGCAGACTTCTTTCAAATCTGCATGCTGCTTCTGGGTTGCTTACAGCCAAACCTGCTAGCATTTTCAAAAGTAGGTTAGCAATGGCAGCATTTATATTTGTTGCAGTACAGGTTCACTTTAAAGATGAACTGTACATGTGGCAGTCAGCATCATTGCTGAATTATTGGTGCAAGAAAATCCATAAAGGTTGAATTTTCTTGGCTGATCACTATTGTTTTCCCCCTTGATAAACCAGAGCCAGGTGTGTATATTCATTGATCCACCTTGCTCATCCATGGGGATAAAAATGCATATTGGGCCAATCTAAATGAGCATTTACAAAAGAATCTTCTGATATGAAAGATATAGCTGAGTCAAGCCTGCATGTCCCCACATTTCCCCCCCCCCCCAAGGTTTAATGTAAATTTAACGCCAATCACTAACATTTTGTGTAAACTATAAAATGGTAATCTAATGTAAGCACAGTGGCTTAGTGATTAGCTTTGCAGCACTGGGGATCCCTGGCTCGCATCCTGGTCATGACATCTATCTGCATGGATTTTGCATGTTCTTCCTGTGCTTACATGGGTTTCCCCCAGGTATCCGTTTTCTTTCCACACTCCAAAGACATGCTGGAAGGTTCATTGACTCCTGTCTAAATCGGCCCTAATATGTGTGTGCATGTGAGATATGGACCTTAGGGATCTATTCACGAAGCTGCCGAGGGCAGCCGAGTGAATGACCGATCTTTAGTGAAGTGAGGCGAACACTGTTCGGCTATTCACTTCAGGCTGGTACGGCTAATTTCAGCCGTACATCGGCTGAAATCAGCCGTACATCGGCTGAAATCAGCCGTACATCGGCTGAAATCAGCCGTACATCGGCTGAAATCAGCCGTACATCGGCTTGCTTCGTGTGGCTTCGGGTCGGCCGAACATGCTTAGGAATGTTCGGCCGACCCGAAGTGCAGAAGGAGTTCGACTCAGCCGATCCAACATCTGGATCGGCTGAGCCGAACCCCCGGCAGGCTTCTGACTGCTGTTCGGGCTATTCTTAAAGATCCCGAACAGCAGTGAGTGAATAGCCGAATGCCGCCTAGGGGAAAAAAAAAATTTTTTCCCATTGAAAAGCATTGGGACATTACTATTGGCTATTTCAATTTGCAATAGCCAATAGTAAACTAGCATTGTACCTGCCCTCTGCTGATGGGCCTGATGGGGAACTTCAGCAGAGGGCGGGTACAATGCTAGTTTACTAATAAGCTCCTTGAGGGTAGGGACTAATATGAATGTATAGTATGTAAAGCTCTGTGTAAATTGTTGGAGCTATACAAATATCAATACTAAATAAAAGTTGTTTTGGAATTTGTTTCATTAAAACAATACCTGGTAATACTTCCATGACAGTCCATGTTCAGACTTTTCCTATTATAGGGTAACAACTGTCTTTCAGTTGTACTCCTACATTGTCACCCCGTCACATTCCTCCCCTAATGAAGACAACAAGGGTGTCATACTGACATAAATTCTGTTGACATGGTCCACTTATGTCACATCACGAAGCTGGTTCTGAGCAACGATGTTCAGGGGTAAATGATAGCATGAAAACCCATGGTGAGTGGCAGAAAAAGGCAACACTGATATACAAAAAAATATAGCATGGAAAAAGGTGAAAACAGTCATTTATTTTAAAAATGGCAATCATATAGCGTTTAGATTTGAATTTTTAGTTGTGAATGGAGGACAATCAGGTGGCAATCAGGTGAAACATTGACACTGGGAAAATGAGTCAGATGACTGATTACTTAATAACGGCAATGCTCAATGTACTCATTCATTTTTTTCCTTTATCAAGTGTCATAGGGAACACGCTTATCGACTGAAACTAGGAAAAACAAATTATCACATTATTTGCCATGGGGCTGCTGTTATCAAATCCTATGATATCTAGTGCAATTGTCAGCACTTTGCATGATTTACAGCATGTGTTAACTTATTATACATGTCCGAGGAATTAGAAGGCCTCCCAGCAAACATATGTGCACTAGCCAATTACTTTTTGCCTGTAGTTATAGAATGACGCATCCAGATCTGCTCTGCAAACACAAAATGTTGTAAGAAAAAATAAATTTCTCGATAAAATATCCGTGATTATGTTGCAATTCTGAACTCAGATTTTCCTTCTTTGAATGCTGCTACTAATGTATCTTACTAAGGACCCATTCACATTGGAGCATTTTGTAGCTCGATTGCCTAAGCGCCACACCGCTCGACAGAAGGAATTGCATTGTTTTCAATGGTTCCTGTTCACACCTAAGTGTTCTGTCGCATATAGCAAAACAATTGTTGCTAAAAAAAAGTACATAACTTTGTTTTGGGGCAGAGTCAAACATGTTGGTCCCAATAGACTTCAGTGAGAGTTCCTTGAACAAGTGTTTTTCAAGCGTTTTTTTTTTTTTCAAGTAACAGGTTTGCATTGGCTAAGATAAAAAATAAAGTAACACACCCAAAGACACTCAGCTCAAGTGTGAACAAGAGTTACTTTCTGAAGCTAGTTAGATTTTATGTACTTTGAAAAGTTTGGATGTGGTCGTTAGTTATGAGGATTGAGAAAATGAAGTTGATATACTAAAGGTATAGTGGCTGTTCACTTTCCAAAGCATAGGTTGACTATCTTAGTAAATAAGATGAAGCTGTTTTAACACCGATTACCCAATCATGTGCAATGGAAAGGAAATTGCACATAAAGAAAGCTTCACTTTCTTAACTAAGCTAAGTGAACATACACTTGAACGTCAACATTCCTTTAGTAAATCAACTCCTCATTACTCCGGGCATGTTGTTATTAAGGGAATTTTCTACTTCAGCAACAGATCTACAGAACCAGGTTCCAATCGCAGATACAAGTGCCAGTTCCTGCAGTATTTGGGTTTTCATGCTATCATTTACCCCAATATGCTCTTCTTGCCATTTAAGAATGTTTACACTATGAATCCTGACGGTTCAGTGACCTGGCTCACCCAGCTTCCTGAGACCTTAGTATCTAAGGGGGGAGATATTTAACCTTTTCTAGAATCTGTCACAGGGCTGTAAGCAATCAGTTCAGTCAAGGGCAACTATAAGATTTAAAACATCTTATGTTTCCAAGCAGAGGTGATAACTTTGAGAAGAGCTAACTAAGTCACTTCCAAAGCTACAGATAATAAGGGATTGCTTAGTGGTTTTGTTAATCTTTTGTTTATGATGGTGCCCACTATATATTTTTATTGGGGAAAATGTAAATGATTAAATATGAACATTTTGTATTCTCATATTGAGCCAGCAGGGTTTTCACCTATCTTCTAGCATCTCTTTGGGGTCTATTCACGAAGCAGCCGAAGGATCTAGCCATAGCTTCGGCCGATCCTTCGGCTAGCTTCGGCCCCAGGACCCCTTTGGTTCAGTAGAACCGAAGGGCTGCTGTACGGGCTATTCACAATAGCCCGTACAGCTCCCGAACTTAGCCGAGCGTCTCAGTCGAGGCGAAGGCATATGCCTCGGCTCGGCTGAGCCACGCTGAAAGCCGAAGCTGGCCGAGCGGCCTGCTTCTGACAGCTGGGCGGAGCCAGCCGTGATCTTACAGCTGGCTCCGGTCACTTGCAGAGAGATCAGCGTCCCTGGTTACCAGCTAACCAGGGACACTGATCTCCAGACAGCAAACTCTCCCGGGCGCTCCGGGGGTCTCCCGCTTTGAACAAGGAAGTATTTAAACTTTGTTCATGTTGTTACTTTGGCTTGAAATTCATATTGTTAGTTTTTTTTCCCCACATAGATAACGTTTACTCTGCCTGTTTTATTTCAAAGTTGCAAAGGGATTATTCCTGGTGTATGCTGTTTAGTGTAAAGCAATTGTTATATCAAGTGAACTGTTTAAAAATGAATATATCGGGTCACTGTAAATATTGTTTTTAAATGTGTAACACAGAAATAAATATTGCTCAAGATGCGCAATTCTATTCCATGTGTTATGGATCAAAACGCCAGTTCTCTGCAAGAGAAGATATAGTATGTTCTCTGTTGACCCATGACTCCTTCCTCCCCTCCATTCCAGCACTGCAGCCTCTTTTTTGTATTAATATTCAACACTTCTAGGAGTGTTAGATGAATACTTCCAGCAGTTTGGGATATCTTTGTTCCCTGCCAAATACAGGTCCCTTCCTCTGATCCCTATGTCACTACAGGACTCAGCATTGATATAGGGGTTAGAGGATAGAGGCACAGCATGGTGTGAAACACAGGCATCCAACACTCCCAGAAGTGTCCAATGTCAAAAAGATGCAATGCTGGAATGAAAGTTAGCTAACTCTTTTCTTGCAGGGAACTAGCCTTTTGACTTGCTTACAGACCGGACAGGGTCTATTTACAGAAACCTTTGAGATCAGAGTGCCTTTAACATTTCGTATTTGATTTGTTTCAGAGTACAGTCGGGTAGAAGATGTTTCTATAGTAGAAGATGACTACAGATGTTGGCCATCATATCATCACGATGGATGTCTCCTCTCTGTGTTTGATCTAAGTGAAGCAATAGACATTTGTGAAAGCCATTCCCAGTGCAAGGCCTTTGTCTGGACCAATCAGACAACATGGACAGGTAATTCACACTTTCTATGTAAAGAATGCAAAGAAAACTGTGGTATAAGTGAGGTTGTGGCCCATAGCAAACATGCATGACCCTCCTTCATTCCCCATTGCAAGAGAGATGTACTTGGTTGGTATACAGTATATGGGCATAGCAACCATGCATTTTCCTGCTTCATTTCCGAATGCAAGAGAAATGAACTTTGATTGGTATGTATGGACTTAGCAACCATGCATATTCCTACTTAATTTCCTAATGCAATAATGGTTAATGCTAGGTTACTATTTATATAGCCAGTTAGAAGACTAACTTTTGATTTTTTTGGTATAATAAATATTTAATCCCTTAATTAAGATGAGGCAAGTATTGTCAAAGATAGTCTGTGCTGTCTGTAGCAATCAGAGTCATACTGCACTCTGAGACAGTTCTTCTCTTGTTGTTGTTGTGAACAATACTCAGGGGCCTGGTTTGTAATTGCCCCTGCTTCCAAACCCCTGAAGTAGGCTGGTGCCCAAACTGAGAACCTTGCAGAGGAGGATGACCTGAGGTCCGTTGAATGACGGTTACAGGAAGGTGCTTGTGGAGATTTGTTTCCAGACCACATAGGCCCAAGCCTAGCACTGCTAGACCTTCAGAGGCTACACAGATTGCCAACCCTCAGATCCGGTTACAGGAAGGGTGGCACATACTACAGCCATAAAAAAAAGTTATCTGTAGTAACAAGAGACTTGCTGACTGCATGTACTATAAGTGTGCAGTTACTATTTCTTTCAAATAAAAACATTAGCCCACAGTCTAGAGAGAATCCTCTCTCCGACACAAAAAAAAGGGGACCATCTGCAGATATAGAGGTGAGAAATTATTTTTGCTGCTGAATAAGTCACTGACTTAGATCCAGCGATGCAGATGGTGCCCAGTAAAACAGTCATTAGATCAGGCAGGAGTATCTGGGGAGGAAAAACACACAACACTCTAGTGAAAGATAGGCCAAAATGAATGTGGAAGTGAGGAAGGATGGATGGTGTAATTGAGACTAAGCAGACAGCCAGCAGTTCTCAGCTCCTCCGTACAACAAATCTGTTATATATGAAGTACACAGAAGTGTGGAATCTGGCTTGGTAAATAGCAATCAGACAAAAATCAGAAAACGTGCTTTGAATTTTAATTGGGTGACTAAAATTGTTTTTTTAAATGTTTCATATCATTATGATCCAGATATTAAATATACTAGACATCTCAGGAGCTAGGCCTGTGAATGCTGAAAATGATACCATTATAAATTAATAAATAAATAAATAAATACCGTATATACTCGAGTATAAGCCGTCCCGAATATAAGCCGAGGTACCTAATTTTACCACAAAAAACTGGGAAAAAGTATTGACTCGAATATAAGCCGAGGGTGGGAAATGAGGCAGCTACTGGTAGAATGTTTATCACATAAGTCTAAACATGGAGTAACAACCAATGGCCCTGATCAAGCTGCCAACAGTGCTTGGGGCACACTAAAGTGCATCTGAGGCATGTAAAAGTGATGTCTTGCTAAGGCAAGTCACATAGGCGTGCGTTAAGTGCTACTGCCACTTAAAGAATGAGAGCTAAACATATCATTAGGCACATCAAAGGTCCATCAGGTAGTGGGAAGAAATCAGGCAGCTCACCTTACACATTAACACACTTGTATATGTAAACACTGGTAAACTGTGCAACAGGAGAGAGAAAATAGAACTAAATATCAATTTAGTGAGCAATCAACTTGGGTCAATGACAAAAGGCAGGCAGATCAATCTTGATCACAGAGTTCATAGAGGTATATAGCCAACGCGTTTCAGGGCAATTACCATATCCCCTTCATCAGGGCTGTTTGTCAGGAATAT